TTTAATATAAAAAAATTATAAAGATTGATTAAAATTTGAATGATTTTTATTAGAAGCAATTATTGATTTTTATATTGTATATTGAGATACAAATCTTTTTGCACCAATTCATAATTAGTTGAACAAGTTTTTTATATTTATAATTTTAACAATTATATGTATACATATAATTGTTATTATACGTTTACTATAATAATTATCTCCGTGTTTCTTAATGTTTTGTGTTCGCTATAATTATTCGTTTTAATTCTATTATTACGTTCAGCCAATAATTACTTTTCACATGATACGTACGAATCACATGACACGAGCCGGATCGAATTCTATGTCACGTGAAAATACCGGCTTTAGTGAACCCCAAAAAATATCACCTATATCATTATTCTGCACGTGCTGAATAGCACTTATAGTATGATGATAGTACTGTACAAGGTAATACAGCTGTTTTTGGAATAAACTTTTGATTATTACACTGATGATTATTACAAAAAAAAAACGAATTAGAAGTGTGAAAGTGTGAAGCTTTTCAATAGAAGCAATGGCAAATTATATAACCCAAACGGAGTTTGATAAAGTAATTCATCAAGAAGCGTACTCCAATAAAAATGTCAATAATAAAAAATACAACGAAATTGATGAAAAAGTCGACTCGGAAATAGTATTCGAGTTCGGTGGACCGTGGGGTGTTACTGCAATAATGCTTGGATTTCCAACTTTGATGTATTACATGTGGGGGTGTCTTTACTTCTATCGCGGTCAATTAGTATCCCCATTTAACGTTGAATTCTGGCAGTTGGTCGCGGAAGGAGCCGCGCCTACGTGGTACTCAACAAAAATCTACGTTTCATTTTGCCTGTTTGAACTATTTCTCGCTTTTAATATGCCCGGCCCCATTGTCAAAGGTGCACCAGTCCCCTGTTTAAAGGGTAAACAACTTGACTACCTATGCAATGGCGTGACGTCTTGGTACGCCACTCTTATTCTTTCCTATATAGTGCATAAGCTTGGATGGTTTCGTCTCCCCGATTTAATTGATCAGTTTGGACATCTCATGACAGCTGCCATCATATCAGGGTTTACTATCACAATTGTCATATACATGCACACCATTTTACAGGGAAATCAGCATCGCATGTCTGGCAATTTTTTTTATGACTTATTCATGGGCGCTGTTTTGCATCCACGGATTGGGAAGGTCGACCTAAAAATGTTTGCTGAGATTAGAATTCCATGGGTATAATATTCATTTAAGAAATAAACTCAAATTCAATTATTGATCACTTATTATATTATCTCTCGGAATAGGTTCTTTTATTTTACATTTCTGTGTCGGCAGCCATCAAAGAATACGAGCTATTCGGATACCTTTCTCCTTCAATGGGATTTATGATTCTTGCTCATTTCTTGTACGTGAACGCGTGTATGAAAGGTGAAGAATGTATTCCAACTACATGGGACATGATTTATGAAAAAGTAAGTTTAGATTAATTATTAATGCGAATAGTTGGAATAGATAAAATTCAATTCTCTTGATCCATTTTTCTATAGTTTGGATTTATGCTGATATTTTGGAATTTTGCTGGGGGTATATAATTTTTCATTTTTTTCTTCGTGTTGGAGAAATTTTCCGCATCGATTAATCATCTTTGTTTTTTTAAAGTGCCCTTCACGTATTGTTATTCAACCTTGTATCTGCACTTTGCTAGCATAGATAATGGCGCACCTCTTCAGCATTCATTACCGTGGACTATCTTCTGTTACACGCTTTTACTTACAGGATACTATATTTGGTAATTAATAATCATAAATTATTTCAATATCATTCTAATATCCGAATAATTAATGGTGGTTTGTTACAACTATTATAACATACAGGGACACTGCGAACTCACAAAAAAACAGATTCAGGATGTCAGTAAACGGCAGCCACATCCCACGTAACACTTTCCCCCAACTTCCGTGGGGCACACTTAAAAACCCTACTTACATAAGAACAAAACACGGTAACCTTTTACTGACCGGTGGCTGGTGGGGTATCGCGCGAAAAGCCCACTACACAGCCGATTTGATGATGGCTTTCGCGTGGGGCTTCATCACCGGTTTTGAAACAGCGATCACATACTTTTATCCGGTGTTCTTTGTCATAGTTCTGATCCATCGTGTGAGGCGTGATCTTGAACGGTGCTCGAAAAAATATGGCAAAGATTGGGAAGAATATTGTCGGAGAGTGCCATACATTTTTATTCCAGGTTTAATTTAGACGACTTATTTTATTTCAAAGCAATTTTTGTAAATTTTGTCTTTTATGCATATTTTTTTTCAACGTAGCAAATATAAAATAGTAATCTTATAGTTAAAATTACATCAACACACTTTACATCCTTAGTTGACAAGATGATTAAAAAGTTATCTTGTTTAGTATACCAAAAAAAAATAAAAAATATATATCATTGTTCATCGATCTGGAAAAAATAATTTATTAGATTGAAATAAAAATAAATACAACAAACTTTTTATATGTGGAATAAAATTTCTATTTACCTATTTCACCAAATACAATGTCCATAGTTCCAATTACTTAAACAAAAAGTGTAGTATGTTAAAGATAGAAACATGTATGTGGAAAGAGGGATAATTATCACACGCTACTTACTTGCTACCATATCAGGAATGACATAGCCGCGAGACATGAAATCTGCACCGGCAAGGTGAGCAAATCCAGGAGCACGAATCTTGCATCGATAGGGTCGATTTGTGCCTAAAGTAAGACACAAAAAATAATTAACATTATACACTTACTTGGCATAATTTATGGGACATTTTTCAAAATCCAATATCGTTATTTCATTCAATATGGACAAAGTTCATCAGTCAGATAAACCAAGCAAAAACGTTTGGAGCTAAATACTGGAGTAATCAAAAACTAGAATTGGTATTTTTTTTTGCTTCGCTTATTAATATTTGAAAAACAATACCAATCTTTATTTTGAGCAATTTGGTTCCAGGTTTTTTGATTGGTTTATCAGACTGATGAGCATTCATCAGAAATCCCATGATTTAAGTCCAGTCAATGTACATATCTCTATAAATCGTCTTGAAAATACAACGACATATCGAAAACAACATACCATCTGAAACCAAATAGACACCAAATTCTCCTTTAGGCGCTTCAATCACCGTATAGGTCTCACCAGGTGGAACCGAATATCCTTCCGAGTACAACTTAAAATGATGAATTAATGCTTCCATCGATTCCTTCATTGCCGCTCGATTCGGCGGTGAAATTTTCCAATCATCGACTTTGAAAGCACCACTCGGCATCAAATTCAAGCATTGATGTATAATACGTAAGGATTGTCGCATCTCTTCGGTACGACACAGAAACCGATCGTAGCAATCTCCTGTTGTGCCGACAGGCACATCGAATTCTACTCTATCATAGGCGTCGTATGGTTTTTCTTTTCTAATGTCCCATTTTATCCCGGATCCTCGTAGCATCACCCCGGAAAAGCTGTAATCGAGTGCTTCTTGAGCGGTTACTGTTCCAATTCCGATTGTACGCGCCTTCCAGATTCGATTGCCAGTCAAAAGTTCTTCAAATTCGTCTATACGAGATGCATATTGAGTTGCCCATTGATATATGTCTTCCAGTAGTCCAATAGGCATGTCTTGAGCTACTCCTCCAGGACGTACATAAGCTGCATGCATTCGCGCACCAGATACTCTTTCATAAAATTCCATCAACTGACGGAAATCGTCAGATTAAAAAAACTACGTAATGCAAATTTACAGTAAAGAGATCGAAGTAAATTAGATCTCACTTTTTCGCGTTCCTCAAACATCCACAAGAATGGTGTCAATGCGCCAACATCTAATAATAGTATATACGTCGTAGTATTATTAGAAATAGCACAAAATAATCAAACCACATTTATATATATATAATACCCAGTGCATGAGACATAAGCGCCATAATATGATTCAGAACCCTTGTTATTTCACCAAAGAGAGTTCGGATAAATTTTGCGCGTTCTGGAATATCAATATTCAATAATTTTTCCACAGCAAGCGAATACGCTTGTTCATTTGTCATCATAGACACGTAATCCAAACGATCGAAATACGGAAGCGCTTGAAGATACGTCTTGTATTCAATCAGTTTCTCGGTGCCTCGATGAAGAAGACCAATATGAGGATCAGCACGAACTATTTCTTCACCCTTCAGCTCTAAAATTAGACGTAATACCCCATGGGCGGCAGGATGTTGCGGTCCAAAATTGATTGTGTAGGTTAAAGGTGATGTTTCTTCTTCGATATCTACAAGATAAAGAAAAATGTACAATGCTATCCGTTTTAACATTCTGAGTAGGATTTATCGTGAATTAACTTGGCTCGAAAAATAAAACTAACCTATAGGCAGATTCTCAAAGCCCACAACAGAGGCTTAAGATAAATCAACGTCAAATGTAGTATGCATAACAAAATTTAGATAGTCAGCTTAAGGTACTTTTTTGAGGACCTCTCCCGGCCCAAAAATAGGATCATTTATACCCAACCGCGTAATAAGTCCAGATCGACTGGATGCGGTTCGACTTTTCCCTTCGTGGTAGCAGCAACCGCGTAAGGATCATGCTTTTTCTTTACAGTTTGAAAGAATCGTTGGCAATTTTGAACACGGTGACGGTATGAAATGAAGCCACTTGATACACTCCAATACGAAGAGGTGATATGTGTAGTATTTGGTGTGTTAATTGAAACTAGGTTTGTTGCAGTTCTTTTACAGAGATTTGTGAAGCGTCCAAATAGCATATTTCCTGATAAATGTATAACGATAATAAATTAATCGATTTTCTTGCAACTTTTGATGAATTTAAGTTACACAGAGATAAATTCTTACCGTTACACGAATCAACAAAATCATTTTTATGATTTTTATGATCAAATTGTAGAAAACATGGAAGGCGATTTATTTAGTATTATTTCTCGAGGTGCAAAATTTGATAAGCATCGATTTGGGAAAGATATTGCATTATTTAAGGTAAAAGCAAATATAGCATTAACTAGATCATCGTGTAATCGATCAATCAATCGATAATAAATTTTACTTTTTCTATAAATAAAGCCACAATCATCATCTACTCAAAATGAAGTCGGACAACAAGAAAAAAACGATAATGATGATGTAAAGACTTGGGGAAAAAGAAAAAAAATTACAAGAGATGGCATTGATATTGATTCGAGTATTCGGTTGTTACAAGAGATTGATTTCTTTCAGAATAGTCGACAGGCACTTGAATCTGTTTTAGTTGGGTTATGTGATGATAATAATAAAGTCCACAAAAAAGATGTGAATAAAGAAAGTAGTGATGATGATGATGATGATGATGATGATGATGATGATGATGATGATGATGATGATGATGATGATGATGATGATGATG